CAGCCTAGCCGCAGAATCAGTAACCAAGCATAGGATTAGCCAATATTCTTTATGCCTGGACCAAAGGGTAAAGAATAGGTATGCTCCTATTTGGCACAATATAATTTGAACTAATTCACTTTATCCATTTCACTATAATTTCTTGACAAGGAGAATGATGCTTTCTTATATATTGAATATCACAATTGTACCTTCATTAGCATATTTAGTTATTTTATAGATAAAATTACATATTTATCTCAATTGTCTATTAGTGACAGATAAGCAAATTGAACTTCGTTGTTGTAATTGAAGTATTGTTTTTTATAAAATCTTAGTATGTAGTTCTAACTACTCCTTGTGGGATCGATATCTAAGACTCCATTAGAGCCCTATATTACTTGAGTGATACGTATAATTGTGTTGACAAATTTGACTTTAACATTATTTAATATTATATTTATACATCTTTATCAAATCAAACACATATATAAAGTCGAAGTCAAGTTTTTGGGCGCTATTGCTGGAATTTAAATCTTCTAGTAGCGCCATCAAATTCTTGTATTTGTTGATTTACAAAAAGTCGGTCACTTGTGCATCCCCTTTATTCTTAAAAATGAGGACCAAAATACTTTTCCTCCACTCCTCAGACATCTGTTTAGGTTTTAAAATAATATTAAGGAGTTTGGTAAGCCAAGAAACTCCCAAATCTACTAAACATTTTCACACTTCAAATTGGATATCATCATGTCGTACAGAACTTCCACCCTTGGTTTTCTTTAAAGCCTCCTCAATCTCTTTTTTACTAATGCGACGATAAAATTTTATTATTTTTAATGATATTAAGATTACTAAGGTCGATCATATTTTTCAGAAACTTTATTAAAAAGTTTATCAAAATAACTCACCCAACTATGTTGAATATCTTTTTCTAAAAAAAACACTTTTTGATTCTCATCTTTAATTCATTTTATAGTTAAATCTTTAATTTTCTTTTCTCTTTGTTTGACTAGTTTATACATAAAGTTTGCACCCTCCTTAGTATCTAATCTATTATAAAGATCACTAAAAGTAGAATTTTTAGCGTCACTGATTGTTCTTTTAGACTCCTTGCGGGTCGTTTGATATTTTTCCCAAAGCTCTAAGCTTTTATATTTAAACTAATTTTAATAACATAACTTCTTATATTTCATCTTTTCTTACACATTATTATTCCACCACCAACTATTTTTATTTATAGAAATTTTTTCTTTTGATTCTACAAGTACATCTTTTGTCACTTGTTTAATAGTGTTTGTTACTTTATCTCACATAGTATTCGCTTCTACATAAACATCCCAAAATTTGAAATCTTGAATTTTACTCTTAAAAATAATTTTATTTGTGTCTTTTAAGTACCCTCATCTAATTCTTTGATGATGAATCCTAGTTTTTTTTTTTATTTTACAGCTCTTCATCTTAAAATCTGGAACTAAAAATCAATGTTTGATACTTAAATCCTCACTTGGAATGACCTCATAAGAAAATAATCAATTTGTGTTTTATTAGATCCATTCTTATAAGTAATAAGATGTTCATCTCTTTTCTTGAAAAATGTATTAGTAATAACAAAATCATACGCTAAAGAAAAATCTAATATGGCTTTACCTTCTTCCTTAATCACTCCAAAATCGCAGCCACCATAAATATTTCTGAAATCTCCTACCACTCTACCGACATGTAAATTTAAATCTTCTCCAATAAAAATTCTTTCTTTAAGAGGTATCATTTGTATTATGTCTTCTAAGTTATTCTAAGTTATTCCAGAATTTATCTTTAGAACCTATATCTAAACCTACTTGAGGAGCATAAACACTTATAATATTAAAAATCTTAATATATGGGTGGTGTCTTACCCTAAAATTTAATGTGACTAAAAAAAATTTAACCTGGCAACCTAACAACCTAGAACTCGCAGCACGAGAGGCCGAAACAATCAAACTTTCGGAGCCCGCAGCCCGGAGGTTACTTTTGTTGTTCTTAACATATTTTCTTAGTTTGAAGATCTTTCCCTTCTAGTTTTTTGTCCCATCCAACAATTTTGTTCTTGAATGTATGCATACATTTGCTTAAGATTATAAAATTCTTCCCCAATGGTTTTCAGCTTTGTAAACTGAATAATAACCAAGTGTATTCCCATTGTAGGTAGATCAACTCGTGTCTTAGTTTAAAGATCTTGGGATCATTGCTCTACTAAAATGATCTATGAGATCAATCCAAATACATGAGGTAATATTCAAGTATATTATTCTTGTTGAATTTTACTTGGACAAAGAATTAAGTACAATGAAATGAAGATGTTGTTGTTGGTTGTCCATGGAATTGATACGGTTTGAATCTACAATTTTGAGTTTTGCTAACGATTCTCAAAGGCACATTTATTTTTTGTAAGTAATGCAATCACCATGACATGACTCCAAAAGATATAGTTATATTCCATGAGAATATGTGATACTAGTCTGGTGTCGGGATTGTTTGGGTGATGGAAGTAGGGGGTTGATAGGATAATTTGTTGTTGATGACCCAATTCACAAATCAAAATTCAGTAATATTACACACAATATTCAAATCTTAATTCCTTATAAAAAGAACATTCACAATATTTTTTTAAATATCAAATTCATTTATTTGCATTCACTTACATAAAATTTTTAGAAATTTGGTAAAAATGAAGAACAAATATCTATGAATTAAGATATTATTATGAAATTTAGTATATGAATAAAACTAAAAAAAATGTTGATGGTCGTATATTTGTATTATAATACAAATAATAAAATTTAGATGAAATTTATGATGACAACCGAATATTCGGCCAAAAAATTTATCTTTCACTATCTAACAATTCTGTTCTGAGACTCGAAAGGGTGCATTTTTCTTCTATAAATATGGATGTTTAGCCATAAGTTAACCATCCATCTTCCCAACTCGAGCAAATCTTCTCCCAAACGTGCCACTATGGATGCAGAACTCCCCCTGCAAACAGTTCTCCTCCTCTCCACCATCCTCTGCCTCTTATTCCTCCTCTTCCTCCACAAGCGCCGCACCGGTCCAGGCGCACTCACCAACTGGCCCATCGTCGGCATGCTCCCCGGCCTCACAGTTAACCTCCACCGCCTCCACGACTTCTTGACTGACCTCCTCGGTCCCTCCGGCTGCACCTTCCTTTTCCGCGGCCCATGGTTCTCCGGCATGAAGTTACTCTTCACGTGCGACCCTGCTAACGCCAACCATATCTTCAACGTTAACTTCCACAACTACCCCAAAGGCCATAAATACTCTGAGAACTTCGATATCCTCGGCGAAGGCATCTTCAACGCCGACGATGAGTCATGGAGCAGCCAGCGCAAGAAGGCTCATATCCTCATTGCCCAACCCCGCTTTCGGGCCTTCGTCACATCTCCAGCCGAGACAAAGTTGACAACTTTCTCCTTCCTCTGCTGCGGCAATTCAGCGAGCAAAAGAAAATAATTGACCTGCAAGATGTCTTTTTGAGATTAACATTCGACGTCACTTGCAGGCTAGTATTTGGCATCGACCCCGCCTCTCTTTCACCAGATTTCCACGTAGAGCCATTCGCCAAAGGAAGTGACGACGCCATGGCCACAATTCTGCACCGCCATGTTGTTCCGCCTTTATGGTGGAAGCTCATGAGGCGTCTCAAATTGGGGAGAGAGAAGAAGCTTGCCGAAGCTTGGGTTGTCGCTGGCGGTGTCATTGCAGCGAGCATACAGAAGAGGAAGAAGGAGAGCAACCGCTCCGACTCCTTAAACGACAGTCTCCTCACGGCTTACATCAAAGACGACTCTTTGGCCGGCGACAAGTTTCTCAGGGACACGACATTGAGCTTTATGATTGCAGGGAGGGACACTATCGGGGTGGCGCTTGCGTGGTTCTTCTATTTGCTCTGCAAGAATCCGGACAAGGAGGCGAAGTTGGTGGAGGAAATAAGGCGTGGGGAGGCGACGGTGGGGGAGGAGATGGTGTACTTGCAGGCGGCGCTTTGTGAGGCGCTGCGGTTGTACCCCCCTGTGCCGTTCGAGGAGAAGGGTGCGGTGGAGGCGGAGATGCTGCCGAGCGGGCAGAGAGTGGAGCCGGGGATGCAGGTGTTATTTTCTACATACACAATGGGTAGGATGCCGGGGGTGTGGGGGAAAGACTGCTTGGAGTTCAGGCCGGAGAGGTGGATAACAGAGAAGGGGAAGATGCGGCATGAGCCGTCGTATAAGTTTATGCCGTTTAACTGTGGACCAAGGGCGTGTTTGGGGAAGGCGACGGCCTTTGCGGTGTTAAGGGAGGTGGTGGTGGCTGTAGTTAGGGAGTTTAGATTGGAGATGGTGGAGGGGCAAGTGGTGGAGCCCAAGTTGTCGATCATACTGCATATGCGGAATGGGTTCAAGGTGAGGGTGATGAGGAGGCACAGTTAATTTGCCGTTTTTAGGGAAGATAAAACCCTGTAAAAAGCCAAGTACAATATTGTATGAATAAGATGGTGCCGGTGTATTGCATGTGAATGTTGGAGACAAAATTGCATAATCGAATAAAATAAAATAAAATTGCTGTTATTTTCTCTTAGTAGGATTTATATACATACTGATAGGAAAATCCAAGCAATTCCTAATTTTATTTGGGTTTAGGATCACTTAGAAATTAAACCACACCGCGGAATAATAGGAGCACATCAATTCGAGAAAATCAGAACAAAGAACTAAATAGAAAGCACAATCAAAGCAACCAGAAAATAACAAAAATTTTAAGCAGAAAAACCGAGAACAAGAAAAACCATGGAGTCACACCACAAAAAAATTTCACTATGAATTTCAGAGAGTTTATAAAGAACATACTCAAATTTCCTTTCTACACCTAAGGAAACGTACAAGTCCTCACTCAAAACTCTTATTGATCTAATTCGATGCAAGAAAATCCACATCGAGATCCAAGGAATCCTCCTCTCTGATACTCCACCAGAAACTTGTTGAGAAACCTCATGTAGGAACAATTGAAACGCCGCTCGAAATCAGGATAAAAACCAAATCCCATGTACAAATTGCTCTGGGCGCATAGGCGCTCGAACTGGGCACCTAAGCGCCATGCTTACTGGATCGGCATCTTATGTTGGGTGTATAGGCGTCAATAGGTTGGTACATAAACATCGGCCTCTTGGTAATAAAGCAACGCATAAGGTTAAGTGGGATCATATGCGTACACAGGTTGGCGCATATGCGTCAACTTCTCTGTTGTTTGCACTCAAGTGGGCGCTTATGCGTCCACAGCCCGACACATGCGTCGGTGTTTTGCCCCTATAAGTTGCTCTGCAAATCAGTCTCCACACATAACAATCTCCCACTTGGAGATTGATTGCACCAAACACCAGTATTTTGTAACTACACCTCCATCTGAATTGCTTTCATAGTCACGTACAGTGGCGTGACTCATCCCTCGTCTCAACCTTCATGAAACACAACTGAAGTAAGCATAGCTTCAGTTTCTCAAAAATCACCACCTTCATCAACATATCCGCAGAATTCTAAGCAGTGTGTATCTTCTTAAGGAGCAACTGCCCATCTTCAACAAGAGCGCAAATAAAATGATACCTCAGTTGAACGTGTTTTGTCCTAGCATGAAAAGCAACATTCTTAACAAGATGAATCGCACTCATATTGTCGTTGTTGAGTTTTACAATCTCCTGCTTCTAGCCCAATTCTGCCATGAAACTCTGTAGCCTAATCATCTCCTTGCTAGAGTCAGTGATAACAATATATTCGGCCTCTGTAGTTGAAAGTACAATGATTTTCTGCAATTTGGAAACCCAACTCACTATGGTGCTCCCCAATGTGAAGATATACCCCATTGTACTTCATTTATTATCCACATCTCCTGTTAGATCTAAATCTACAAATCTTCGTAGACTGATCCCCGCACTTCCATAACAAAGTGCCTCGTTGATTGTTCCCCTTAAATACTTGAGAATCCACTTTACCACTTCTTAATGATGTCTGTCTGGATTACCCACGTATCAGTTGACCACTCTCATTACATATGCAATATTTGATTTGGTATAAATCATTACATACACCAATCTTCTACTGTTGAAGCATACGGAGTTCTCTCTATCTATGATTTGCTCTGCTTCAGAATTAGGCAATAGCTCCTCAGGTAGTTTAGAGTGACTGCTTAAGGGAGTGCTGACTGGTTTCACCTCATTAAAATCTAACCTCTATAGGATTTTCTCAACATGCTCTATTTGAGAAAAATTCAATGTTCCTGCACTCCTGTCCATGTTGATTCTCATCCTGAGGATATTCCTGGTTAGACCTAAATCCTTCATCTTGAAGTCACTTGATAATTGTTTCTTCGATTCCTTGATTTTATCCGTACTGCCCATACAATCAACATGGCATCTACATACAAAAGAAGCAAGATATAACAATTATAAAAGTATTTGATAAAGCAACAATGGTCTGTGTGGCACTTCAAGTGCCCATTGTCTGACATGAACCTGTCAATCCTTCTGTATCACTGTCTCTAGGCCTGCTTCAAGCCATAAAGGATCTTCTTCAATCTGGAGACCAAACCCTCTTTTCCTAGAACCTTGTAACCTTGAGGTTGCACATGTATAGCTCCTCCTCTAGATCTCCATGTAAGAAAGCTAATTTACATCCATCTGTTCCATATGTATGACTTCCTCTACTATCAAACTCAGCACAACCCTGACAATCATCATCTTTATCACTGTGGAGAAGACCTCTGTGTAATTCACTCCTTCTCTCTGCTGAAAACCCTTCAAAATAAGTCTTGTCTTGTAGCGCTTGCTACCATCTGACTCCTCTTTCAGTTTGTAGATCCACTTGTTATATAGTGTTCTTTTGTTATTTGGTAGTACCATCAAATCCCAAGTCTAATTTGACTCCTAAGATTGCATTTCTTCATCCATGGCAAGCTCCCACTCCCTTGAATTTTCAACTTGAGTGGCCTCGCAAAGCATTCAGGTTCACTACTATCAGTTGGTAACAAATAATGTAAGGAATGAGAATACATGTGTACACTCTGTTGGATCTTTTAACTTTTGTAGCAGGTGACTGAGGAACTTCCAGTGCTCCTTCTGGTTGAGCACTTCTTTTTCATACTTCTGATCACAAATATCTTATATCTCAACATATTTAGATTCTTCAAAAGTAGTTGAAACGGATTGTCTTAAGTTATGATCCTATCCTTATACATATCAATTTCATTAAAAGTGACATCCTTGCTTCTGATGAATTTTTTATTTTGTTAATCCCAAAACTTGTACCCAAACTCATCTAAGTCGTATCCAATGAAGGCGCACTTGATAGATTTTGAGTCAAGCTTGCTCCTGAACCTTGCATCAACATACACATATGTAAAACGCCCAAATACTCTTAAATGAAATAGACATGCATTTTTGTCACTCTAGGCTTCTTCAGGTAAGCCTTCCTCCAAAGGTATTCATGAACTATGATTGATCAGATAAACTGCAGTGTTTGCTACTTCAGGACAAAACGGTTTTGGCAAGCTTGCATGCAGCTTCATGCTTATTGCCCTCAGTTTTGGTGACATCTAGTTTTCTTCTCTTAGAAGCCGAGGATCTAGCCATAGGACTTTCTTGTTTACTATCCTATAAGACTAGTGAAGAACCTCACCTCCCTTAGAAATTGTAAACACTTCTTTACTCTCTCTGGGGTTTCACAGGTGTGGTTTTGACCTATAGCACTTAGGAGGACGAAACCAATATAAGGAACCTAAAAGGAGTCCCCCATAAGACCTTCAGGCCTTAGGTTAACCCTGGGTGGCTTGGTCTTGGTCACAAACACACACTTAAGCCCATCAAACCCATATCATCCAAAACCCTAAAAATCACCTACACCTGACCCATCTCCTTGCTCCTTTTGGATACTCATATTGGTGATCTTATGGTTCTTATGGCCTTGGGGAGACTTTTCTGTGGTTTGCATGATCACCATATGCAATCTATCCCAATTACACAAATATATCAAACTTTGGCCTTCCACCCCTAATTTTCCTCAAAATTACCAAAATGCCCAGAAAGCCTAAATTTTCCAAAATTGTCAAAACTCCCAATTCTTCATCAAGAATCATGTTGAACCACTTCAAACCATTCAAATTGCCCAAATTCACCCCAAATTTCCCAAAATTAACCAAAGTCCCCCAAATTACCAAAATACCCTCAATTCCCAAAAAATATCCAAAAAATGCCAAAAATCCCCGATTTCACTCCAAACTTCACCTAAACCAATCTTAATTATCCAATTTCCCTAGCTGCATCCAAAATTCCCCAAATCCACCAAAATTGGCCAAAATTACCAAATTATCCCCAAATGTTCAAAACCCCCAAATCTTCCCCAATTTTCATCAAATTCATTTCAAACTCATCCAACTTTCAAACTCAAACCCAACTTCATCAATCCAACCCAATTTTACCAAATTTAAACTCAATTCTACCAATTTTCAAACCTAAATTCCAACCTAAGCCAAAATCCCCAAATTAACCCTAAGTCCAGAAAATAATCAAATTTGGTCCACATGGTCAATCAATTTCCACCCAATTGAAATCCCAAACCCCCCATGACAATTTTTTAAATCCACTGAGCCCATAATTGAGCTTAAACTCAAGCCCAATTTCATCCAAAACCAAAGCCCACTCATGAAGCTTAATTTCCCTAAATCCAAACCCTGATCCAAAGATCAAGCCTAAACCTTTGTTTTGAACACCCTAATCATCTAAACCACTCCTTAACCACAAGATGCTAATCACATCACCAAGTCAACTCCACTTAGAGTCATGGACCAATGGATCCCTAAATCACACAAGCCCTTCCCCCTAATTTGGTTAACTCTCTAACCCATGCAACCAGTCTTCCCAAGCCCCAAGCTAATCACCATTAAGCATCTCCTGACCTCCCTGAGCCAGCTAGCCACCTCCTCTGGTCTAGTCGGCCGCCCTAGTTGTCGGAAAACTTAAAACTGAGAGCCCTCACCATGAGTTAAATACCAATTTGTACCCATCCAATGTGGTACATTCCAATTGGTCAATTGCACCATTTTCTCCTCCACCTAAGCTAACTTGCACCACCCAATTGGAGCCTTTTCCCCTCCTCCTGTCCAGGCTTATAAAATGGCCACCTTCACAGACAAATGGGCAAAGGCGCACCAACACTAGTGAAGCCCTACCAAAATTAATCCATACCACTCGCACACTCCTAAGAAGATCATTCCCACCATTTTCAAGCCTTGAAACCACCCAAACAACCCTGATTTTGAACTCAAAAACCAAGATATTTCACGGCCATCCCATAAAATTCCACAAAACTTAAAATTGAACCTTCCAAAAACTATTACCTCTAAACCACTTCCCCCAATCAAAATTAGTCATTCCTGAGCCCTCTAACCTAGCTCAAGACCAAGCTCGAGCCACCCTCTCACCAAGATCATACATAGGCTTCATCAAAGAGCAATGTGACTCTTCAAGGAGGTTCGTGAGGTCAAGTCAATCGTCTCCAACCAACCTAATTGAGGCTTCATCACAGAGCAAGGTGACACTTCGAGGAGGTTCGTGAGGTCAAGTCGATCGTCTCCAACTAACCTAATTGAGGTCTCACCTCTTAGACAAAGGTATAACTCAATATCCCTAAATTTGTGCTCGGTTTGGACTTT